CGACGGTAAAGTGTGCCGTCGTCGCTTTTACACGCTCATGGACGTGTTCAAGCGTGAGGAGCTGGAGTCGTTAAGGGCGTCCGGCGCAGCAGAAGACTACGAAGAACGGGAGCAGCTACTTACAGACTGTTTTGAACTAGTACGATGTAATGCTGTGTTTCTTGACCTACTTAAAAAAAGCTAATTCATGTTCTTACATGTAGACAGAGAGACATGCACAACAAAAGGCAGACAAAACTGAAAAAAAACGAGATGCTGAGCGCCGTGAAGCTGCGTCTGCTGACATAGTTCGTAGCGCCATGGAAGGCATGCGTAACAAACGAGCTCTCAGCTCAGACACGGACTTGGCGACACCACCTTCAACAAAAAAGAAAAAGCGGTCAGGTACGGATGCATTATTAGGTTTCCTTGAGGACCGCGCGTCATCGCGCAACAATAGAGACTCATTGAAAGAGCGGCAGCTACAGGTAGAAGAACGACGGCTCACGCTTGAAGAGCACCGGCCACAGCAGAACAAGGACAAAACGGACAGAATGCTAGCGATCATGCCGTCTGAGATGGGTCTTATGGCCCAGCTGATAGAAAGATATCCAAATAAAAAGTTGTACTGCTTATTCAAGTCCTAAGTAGTGTTCAACTGTTGGTGGTGTCATTGCGAAGAAAGAAGATGTCTGACTACCACGCAGGCAAGTGCGTACGTTTGCCAACAATGTTCCAGCAATGTACATCTTTCCAATACGCTGTAGATAGAGCTTTTGATATTTTTTTTTTTGCACAATCAACGAATGCCCAGCAGCGAATAATTTTCCCGAAGCCCCATTCAACGCTTACTCGGAACTCATGCGCTGATTAAACGCTTCTTTGTCTGTCGATAATTGTGCACCTTTAAAAGGTGCAATAATGTACCGTAAGCAGGATCTCCATAGAAAACAAAATGATTTCCATCTGCACTAAGAGATTCAGCGGTCACGTCAAGTAATTTGCTCTGATGAAGTATGAAAGCATCGTGGCAAGTGCCAGCATAAGGTCTGCTGAGATGAATTATGATGCCATCAAGAGCTATCACGGACTGATACTTAAGTGCGTGTTTTCTCTACCACAACAAACGAGTTTTAGTTCTAAAGCAAAACATTCACATCTAGAAATTTCCTGACCTTGTGTCCGCTGTATTGTACAGCGCTATATCTACAACTTGTACATGTAGCGCAGATTTCGTGTCGGACGACAGGTGCCTCGTACTGTGCCATCTATAAACCCGACGCAGGTTTGCAGAGGGGCTCCTTTAGCATGAATTGCTTCAGCGTACGCCGAAAGTGTATCAGCATTAAGCCGGGAGCGGTCAAATTCTAGGAGATGGTTGAATTTGTCATAAATAAAGTCAAGAACAGCGCTAGAAATGGACGAAATCGCAGTTGTATCACGTCCGAAAAAGTCTTCTAAGTCGTCGAGCCGTACAGGGTAAGCCATTCGCCGTAGGAAGATACATAACCCTTCGAGCGCTGAAACATTATATCGCTGTGTAGTAGGGAATGGTTCAGGCAAACAAAAGAGCTGCACAAGCCGCAAAATCTCGCCCTTGCCAAAGCGGAACTTCTTGCGCCAGACTGAATCAGTCTGAAATCGTTCAAAATTGGACGGAGAACGCGATGGCCGATTGGATTCGCGCATGAGGAGCACAG